CTTAATGGATAAACCCATCTCTGCGAGAGCTATTAGACCGGAATTTGTACTCATCGCAATTCATTACACAGAATTCCTCGCAGAACAAAAAACCCTGTTTCGGTTAGTCATCCTCTCCATCGAACATGCAGATTATAAGCGGAACAACAAAACAATCTTATTCGAATGCGAGATACCGTCGTTGTAATTTAACCCATGCCAGCGACATTTCGTTTCGAAAACGAATTTCCTATGGAGATCTGTATTTGCGTACATGATTTATAAATTCTCGATCTGATATGTGTCAGACGTACGACTATTTTTGTGTCGATAATAGGAAGTCTGAGTGACTCAACAATGACTCCAAATTTGTAAGTCTGATGGACACACTGTGTGAACCAGTTGCCTAACTTCGTTTATTATCCCAGAATGTCTACGGTGATCCAATTCAGTTCTCAAAATATACATGTCCTACATTACAGGACAAGGTTTAAGAATAAAATGAGTTAAGAATAAGAGCGATCGGGAACCGAGAAAAATTTGATAAATCATGACAAGGTACCAAGAAACATATATCCAGCACACTGCTGTGCTATCGCTATTCAGATACAATTAAATAAAAAGAACTTTTTTTACCATTTACTACCATTAGCTTTACCTACTACCTTATTTTGATCTTTTCACCATTTACTTACCTTTTATCATTTATTTATTTGTCCACTCATAGTAGATAGTCAAAGAAACATTTTAATTTTATGCTACTACTGTGACAGAATAATCGAATATTTTATTCGAATCATTTTATATATATATAATATTTTATTATATATATAATATTTTATTATATAATATAATATTATTATATTATATAATATAATATTTTATATATATAAAAAAGGAATATATATAATATATAACATTATAAATATAATATAATATTTTATTCGTCATCAATCATTCTATTTATTCGAATAATTCTTTATGCGAATGATTCTTCGTGCGAATACATTTTTATTCGGATAAATCTTTACCTAGATAAATTTTTATTCGATTAAATACTTATTCGATACTGTCCAATAAACGTTTATTCGTTAGTTCTCATCTTCTAGCCGTCATCCGAATAGAATTTTGCCCGATTTCGGTCAGTGTACTGGCTACATACTGCTAGATTTAGCTACCTTTTATCAAAAAGTGATTTCCGGCCGTTCTCCTTGCCAGACTGAACACCGAAAAATGCTCTTGAGTGCTAGACTATTTTTCGCCTTACTTTCGAAATAGTCGAACGGTAGACACGTTCTCAGTCTCCTCAAGCTTCTTGGCGTCGTGTCGTCCGCCGTTCGTATTCACTTTCTTCGCCGGTCCAAACTGTTGATGAAGAACAGAGTTCCATTTCCAACGGTGACAGTTTTTCGATTCCGTCGCAGCTACGTCGCGGGACGAGTAAATACGCTTTTAGCGTGGCGGAAATTGTCGCTTCTTAAAGGAGACAGTTGAATATCCGTAGTTAGAATCAGCAGGTTCTCGCCGGCTGATTCGCCGGGCGCCGGTTGCACTTCCTGCGTCTTGTTTATCCATGTTAACACCAGGTTTACGGATCACTGAATGCAGCTGCTTTATATTAGCTCATAAAAGTAACAATAAGACATTTACTCTGATTTTTAAAGAGTAATGTTTGCCACAATTATCGCATATATGGAATAAGTAGCTCATAATTTGGATAATCGTAAATCAAAAAATTAGTGATCCGTCAGTTCGACAGATTCCGTAGACCTAGCGTAACCTAGAAATTATGTAATCCTTTGTAAAGTGTCGCAATATTTACAACAGTGTCAATTTTGAATAGGATTTTAAAAAATGATTAGAAACGTTTGGCTTGAATTTGATTCATATGTGAAAACAACAATTATGAAGAAATTCTGTTCTATTTTCATCAACATTTCAAGCATTCGAGTAAACACAGATACACATTGAACATACATATTAACCAATTAAGCGCGTTTGTCGTGTATACACGTCAAACCAAATCTCTATTACGGTGCGTTCGACGTGTTTACTCGTCATTAAAAACATAAAATTACCATTGACTGTGAAAACTTGAAGTTTTAATCAAATACAATAAGAATATTATTTGGTGGGATGTTTCCTTTATATTACCAATAGAACTGCTAAGTATTTTATACGGAGGGGGTGGCGGGATGGGAGTGTGGTGTAAGGCCTGCGAAGTGCCACTTTGTGTGGTACCCCGCGTTTCGAGAAATAAATAATATAATTACCGAACTCAATTGAAATTCTTAATATTTTTTTTCTACATGTGTAGAAAAAAAATAACAATAACTTTTCAGAAATAAATTGTTAAGTTTTTCTTAAATAAAAATGTAGTTCTTCTTCGTCTTTCGTAAAATTTGTAATAGGACCATCTTGCTCTGCGTTCGTCGTGTATACACGTCATCGCTTGATTTTAATTCCGCACGCTATGAGGGGTTTTTAACCCTATAAAGATAACCATATGACAACGTACGTAAAAGATAACCATACGCTTCAGAGGCGCATGCTTTTCTAAGGCGTCAATTTTATACTAACAATGGATATTTATTTAAGTTAATCTAGTCGTTTTAAAGGTTTGGCATTATTGTAAAAATAAAATGCATTTATATTATATTTTTTTATATTTTAAGTAATTTTAAACTTAAATCACTAGACCTCTATGAAAAATTAACAAAAATCAACAGTCTTCGGTTTATGGGAACAAATCCCGTAAAATATCACAAAAAATAGTGTTTTATCCTTACAAACTAGTAGACTATAATATAATCAGTGTAAAAAAACTATAATATTATAAAAAATTTCTTTAGAGACAGTCATGACAAACGTCTTTCTTGTGTTCACCACAAACTGTCTTTTTGCATTTGGCACAGGTCATCTTTGACATTCTTTTCTTTTTAAACGTGCAAAGACTGCAATAACGCCTTTTTTTGGCTGAGGGTTCTTCTTCATCATCTGTGGAAGCCTGTACAGCAGATTTTGGAAGAATATTTTCAATGTTGCTTCGCACATGCCTTGGCAAAGTGGGTGCTTCCAGTCTTTGCGTCATCCACGGTGCAGTCAGTTGTTTATTTCGCAGGCGCCTCTGCGACGTAGGTTATCTTTCTCGGGTTAAAACTAAATTTGCCGCTTAACAGGTTAAGGATTATTATCGTAATATGTGTTGAAAGAAGCTATTAAATTGATTCTCCATGAATATATGTAGCGAACCCACTAAATATAAATGAAAAAATTTCAAATCCATCATTACCTATGACGAAACCCGTAAATCTATTGTTAAGAGGCAAAGTTGCTGAAGAAAAAGGCCGAAGTTTCTGTTTCGCGTTACAGCGATCCTAGGCTGCTTTTTTCACGAGGAAAACGCGAGTATTTCGTTACAAAGTACATATCGGGTATTGAGCGTGGCCCGGTAATTTGGACACGGGGTATACGCGGATGCTTTGTTCTTCTGTCCTCCTTCGGCTTCCGTTTCTTCTTTTTTTTTTCGTCGACCACGCAAAGGAGAACCAAGACGGAAAATGGGTCAATGCAATCTTGGAAGGCGCTTCTACAATAATAAACGTAACGTGTGGCTGCTTCCGTAAGATTGCACTGACCCATTTTCTATTGCGTTTTTCTTTCGCGGGCTGGCGTCCTTAAAGCACACCATCCCTGAACGTGCATTCGAATTTAATACGTCCGGCCCTTTGCGCGACCGGCAGAGAATGTGCATGCTGAAATTAGATATTCTATTTTTCCAGGTAACTGTTACTTTCTGACGGATGGGATCTGAGTTTATCAATTCGATCGTCCGTGGGGAGACTCAGAGTGCAAGGTAAAAACTATAATTACTATTTTTTCCTTTTTTAAACGCGCGATGCTTGTAGAGTGGCAATTTTATGCTGTATATTTTATATCCGATGCCTCAGTATTAAATTAACTGAAATTTAAATTTCTATTAAAGATCTATTACAATTTACATTTCCATTAAAGATCTAATACAATTTAAATTTGTAATAGGGATCTATTATAATTTATATTTCTATTAAGAATCTCTGTTGCAATTCATATTTCTATTAAAGATCGACTACAATTTAAATTTCTATTTAAGCTACTTACGATAATTTACTAAAGAACAGACTTTCTTAATTTAATTTTCAGTGTTTACCGTTTATCTTAATAGCATTTCAATAGTATGCACAGAATTGCATTGTACAGTTTCACAAAAATTTGTGGGAAAAGTGGGTAAATCTTGAATCATTGTTAACATAATTAAGTGAAGAAATAGATATCTGTGCGACTCTTGTTTCTTACGATCGACGTAGTACAAAAATCAGCAGTTTAATTAAAAGAATGAATAATGATTACAATAAACACGTTCGTCTGTTACATACATAGGCACAGATATGCTTCGAATTTTCTATTAATTGTGAACCCTATTTGGGATAAAATCAATGAATATTACCTATATATGTGTTGGTGAAACGTTCGTAACCTCGTTTTCTAAAGCAGCGTCGTATAAGTCAGCTAATAATATTGTTCAATCATAGCATAAGGATTTATAGTTCGGAAAAGCTATATTCGATGCCTGCAGAAGCTTCGTTATTCTGGTACGAATCTAGCAAAACTTCAAATTACAGTGTGTTCCTAGCTGAGACACTTAAAACTGTCTCAAACATACTTCAGTCATTAAGTCTTCAGCAAAGTTGCATACGCTTAACTTCAGCCCACCGGTCTTCTCGACTACGTAATACTAATTATGCCTTACGAAGTACACGTGGAAACTTTCGAAAGATAGTCTTTAATTTAATAAGAATAGCTTGTACTATGATGAATGATAAATGCGAAGAAAGTGGAGATGTGCCAGAAATGTAACAGAAATTTTCTGCTGTTTAGACATTTATTATGCTTATAATAATAAGCATAATAAATATGCTAGTGATAATAATCGGACGGTATTATTACACGTTCATTTGAAACTACAGGTTTACACATGCGAATTTACAACTGCAGGTTCGTACAAATTTTTTTGCAACTACAGATTTTTCTTATTTACAACTTTTACTTCAGGAAAAGCATACTCGGTTACATTCTTATCAAAAAGATCCGCCGATCGTGTGCCGATAAATAGATAGAGCCTCTGTAAGAAAATAACAATCCAGAAATCTCTGAGTAAATAAAATTACTAAATAATCACGGACACAGAAATCGAGCTTAGAAAATTGTCCGAATAACGTTAAACAGCTCCGCGTGCGAAATCCTGTTCAATATGTTCTGTTCAATAACTCGTGTGTCCTCCATTCGGCTATCAGGGTGATCCGTTGTTCGCAGAGTCTGCTCGCATCGGAGCAACTACAGGCAATCTGAATAGAAAACAACATGCCCGGGTGAATAGAACCCCACTTCTGATTTAATAATGCTCGCCATCCGAAACGCATTTACATCCGCGACACTAATGGAAGGTCTAATGACTGGAGAGTGGCTGCTCCGCCGGGTACGTTCTTGATCCACTGCCAATTATGTAAGACGGTTTTGGCTTAGGATATTTTGGGTCACTGCTGGCCACCGATTGGGATCCTTTACCGGTCGATACGTCTCCGGCACGGACAGGCTTGTCCGAAGAATCACGATCCGATGCAGAGCCGGCCTGGTAATCGGATCGGCTGATCGTTGAAAGCGAGGAAGGAGGATTCGCCGGGTACGTGGTGTTCATTCAGTCTCCTTCAGCTGGAGGGCGGGAGGGGACACCGGGCACTGCGATAGACAAAATAGATTAGAAGGGAGGTTGTTCTCTTCTTTGACATGGCGGATTCGGCCGGCCACGAAAGGGGCCGCGGGGCTGGGGACCGGGAAAGAGGGACACGAGGAAGCCAAGCTGCCTGTCGATAGCCTGATGCGGCCCGCCACGCCGCAATTTTTTCCCCGAGACACTCCATTAACATCTCATTATGAACACTCGAGCGCCACGCCGACGGCGGTCTCTCTCTCTCTTTCTCTCTCTCTCTCTCTCTCTCTCTCTCTCTCTCTCCTCTTCTCTCTTCTCTCGTCCTACAAAATATCTTAAGTTCGAGCTTCCATTAAAATATCTGACGAGCTTGGCGAGCTTTCATGCTACCCAGCCGACTCGATCGCCTTCTCGGCCCACCTCGCCTTTGGGCTCCACTTTACGGTGAAACGGTCCCCCTTCGCTCGCAACCGATTCCACCTGGGAATCGAGACCGCCCACCGGAGATACAACACACCGGAAGCCCTGGACACAATACTCTACCGTGATTCTTTCTTATCCGAGCCACGGGAGGACGGAGATAACGAGACCGAAGGTTGGCTGCTACCGTGCACACGGAGAAGCTTCTTCGTTTCTGTAAATAAAATTGGAACGTTCTTCTTCTGATTTACGGTGGCACTTATTTAACCCCTCAAGGTTCGACGTACACGTGTGCGTCAACGACCCCACATTCGTTGTCATGTATATATAAAAACGCTATATTGTATAAATATAATACAGTATAAATACCTATATAATATGAGTATTTCGTGCTAGTATACGTTAGTATATGTTTACAAGTCGAAAATTGACGAAACCTTTTGTTTTATACGAGATTAAATACAGGGTGTCCCGTAGCATGTGAGACACACTTCAGGAATGGATTCTACACATGAAAACAATAAAAAGTACAGCGGCACTGTATTTGCTCACATTCATAACAACTCGACTTAACGCGAAAACAAAGACTAATAGAACGTGTGTTTATTTGAGCTTTTTTATTATTTTTATGTGTAGAATCACATGGTACGGGACAGCATTTATATTACAATAAAAATAATTGAATTCTCACAAATTTAATTACCGGCTTGGAGGGTTAATATGATGCACCACACAGAGTCGGACTCGTGATCGAGATTCTAAACATAATCTACTAAATGTGAATTACATTAATTTTTTTGAAATCGAAACAAAATTTGGTTCTTTTGTTATTAAAATTTAGGGATGACAGTAAGCGAAAACACAGAAGAAACAAAAATTGTCTCGTTCTATCAGGGAAATTATTAACCCTTTGCAATCGAGTGGCGACCCTGAGGCAGAGTTGAGCAAAACATTAATCGACGACTAACGATTGAATTACTATTGTTAATCTTTAATAGCAATTAACGATTAAATTTATCTCTCCAATACAGAGATACGATAAAGTAATAAACATGATAAAGATAATTCTTAACGGAATTACATCAAAATATCCTTCCAATTCCATTCGAAAATCAGCAATTATTAATTGTCTTTTATCGATCGACGATTGACGAGAAATTTCATCGAACGATTAATTCAATCGTCGATTTTACGATAATTAATGCCTTTAAACAACGAGCGGCGATTACATTCATCAATCGATTAATTGAATCGTTGACTTTTCGATGATTCATGTCTTTCATCGTCTTCATCAATCATTAAAACGAATGAAAAGTTTTAATCGATTGATGCCCAACGCTGCTCCGAGGAGTTACTAAAAACTGTTATATCACGTTCCAAAATAATTTTGATATTATCAAATTTTGTTTATACTTAACAAACTGTTAAATGTCTAACTGTTGTATGAGTCGCACAACACAATTTCATATCCATAAAATACATTATATAAAATGGAATTACGGTAGGACAGGAAAACTATTTTGGAATTAGAGTTTAAAAGGCTTTGAGTGAAAGAAAGTACAGAGCAAGCGGTTAATATTTAGGCTCTCTTTGGCAGAAGAGAATTTGTGTTTAATTACCAGTCTGCTGGTTTTATACATTTATGACAAAACTGGGTAGATGCAATCTAGAACAACAGCAAACTTTACTTACAAACTACAAAACAAACTACACTTACTCCTTGTTAAAGTTGTTAAAGGATAATAGCAATCTCTGAGTAACTCCTGTTTCTTGGAACCTACGCTGACGACTTTTATTTTGCATAAAACTCCGCATTCCATCAATTATAGTGAACTACGAGAGTTTTTGCTGAATAATAAAATGATTAATTTAATTGGATGATGCATAAGGAAATTATTGAGATAGTTTAGATTGCTTAGAATCGCCAAGAAAGTACTAAAAGCTGGTTTCTGTAAAGTTTGTTGGAGAGAAGGTGCTGTATTAAACATTTTTTAAATAAGTTCCATTTAAAACCAGTCATTTGTAGTCACTTTTCCTAATTATATTGCTACCATAAGTACCTTCGTAATTTAATACCTTATCTAAAGCTAAAATTTATAAATTATAAACAATTTAAGATATTTTCCGATCGCTCGGGCATAAATATACGTACAGATTTATCGAATTCAATTAAATTGCAGTGTTTGCAGAATATGAAGGATGTAATTCATATTTTGATGTTACCTGCATACACGAGATTTCAGTATCATTTCTGGAATGGTTGGTAAATGTACTTGTTGTGGCGGAAAATGAACTATTGCTTCAGTGGGTGCCGCTTAAGAGTATCGTCGTTAGGTAGTTGTTAAGCTTGTTCAAGACGAGGTTTGTAATTTAATCATTTGAATGACTCCGCTCGTATCTCCAAGCGAGGATGGAAATGGAATCCTTGGCGTTTAGCTTTCTACTTGAAAGGGGAATTAGTCTTACGATTCTGGGACGATTACGTCTGAATCAATTCGATTACGTTCCCCGACTAAACTGACGTGACGCTCTGAAACTAGCGTTTCTCAGCCTTATTTTGTTTCCACCAGTATGCATCCTTCTAACGTAAAGTGAGCATATTTTGCTTTATACTTTAAAAGCGATACACCTCTATTAAAATGTACCACGACAGCCTTTGTACAAAGAGAGTGGGAAGCCGATAACTATTAATTAATTGTCATAAAACAGTGACATACAAAAGGATGGCAATAGAACTAAAAAAGAGTTCTATCTCGCTGAAACTTCCCAATCGTTATAAAAATGTTAAATTAACTCTGTTCAGCACGCAATGCAGTTTTTATTAAAAAAACATTTTTATTAAAAACATAATTACTAAAATTTACTTACATAATTCTATTGCTAAATATTATATGTAACAGATTTTTCAACATTACGATAACGTGATACAATCTCTAAGAAAAATCTGTCAAACCTTACATTTATCCATTGCACACTCTAACGGCGGATCTTCTTGACAAAAATATAACCCAGCATGTAATATATATGATCATTTATATAATTTTATTTATCTATTTTTATCAGCATATTTTTTTTTAAGTACTTACATAGTTAGTTTTTCCATAAATCACAATAAAACATGTGAAAAATCAGAGTGAATCGTCAGAAACCGTGTGGTCGTATAAAAATATTTATACTCCGGCTGTTTCTCTGAGCTAGTAAGGTACATTCAACTTTCTGAACGTCCAAAAATGGTATCCGATTGAAAAGGTGGAAATATTGACTGAACCTTCGCCAAGGTCCGCATATCTGTGACACATAGAATCTGCAGTCCGGGAATAATTGCGTGGATGATTTCAAAAATAGATTAACGAAGCGTCGGACAATGGAGAAGGATCTCGACGGAATCGGAGATATATTCGGAAATTCCGGATCGATCTTGTCGATCGAATCGCCGCCCTCATCCTCTCTATTGGAAGTTTAATTAACGGCCGATGAGATTACCGGGGGATGTTTGGCGCCGGGTAACATCAGAACAGTCGGAATCCGGGAAAAGTACCATCGTCACCGTTACATTTCTCGTCGTTTTATGGAAACTTTCTTTCTTTAAATTCACCGAGACGATTCCACGTCGATTCCGCGTCACGGTGAAATCTACAGCTGCAGCTTTGTCCCTTTTCTTAACGCGAGAAACTTTCTGCGGATTCGAACTCGACGGATTTCTCGGCTCGGACTTATCGTCGGGATCCCGACGGGTGAAAACGGTATAACCGGGCGGCAGTCACTTCCGGCTGCGTATTCAAACTAAAAAGACGTCGGCGAAGCAATGCGACTTCTCGAATTATACGATCATTCCGTGAACAAAGAAACGGATCGTTTGATTTGTCGCGTGATCCCATCGGTACGCATCGGGAAAAGGTTCCAGATATACAATTTTTAAATCGAAAAAGTTACGAGGCAGTAAATCCATATTCCTAAAGTTTGATGTTCGAGAAAAGGAAAAGCTGTGTAGAGTAAGTCCTATGGAGATTGCAGATCCTTATGCAAATGCAGATCTTTTTAAAGGAGTTCGATGAAGTCGCAATCCAGAAGAAAATCAAATCAAATCAAATAGTACACCTTTCTCAAGAGGAAAACAGGATTGTTGAGACCTGCGTGCGACATTATTGTCGTTAAATAAACGCCCCAATCGAGTAAAAAGTCACATGAAAATTGCTCGTTTGTCGAATATTGCATTCTGCTGTAATTAGATAACGTGTATTCGGTTTAATCATAAAACTGTGGTCCGATCGATGCTCCTATCTTTTCGGATTCACAGATAGAAAACGGAATAAAAATACAAATATTTAATAAACCAATTGTAACACTACACGCTGTACCCGCGTAACAATGTAACAAATCGATAATACACATTCGACTATCTTCTTCGCATTCGCCGATTTACATGCAAACCATGTCTAGAATAAAACAATCTCGCACAAAGTAATCAATATATAAGAAATAATGCTCGGCGAATACGTTGTTTGTTGCAACTGCAATGGAAACGAATTTCGTTGAAATATTTCGAGTTACTCGATAAAAAGTGTTGCGTCCAGGACAGAGCCGGAGAGAAACTTGTTTGGTTGGAGGATCAGCAGTTTCTGCTGTGGGAAAAGATCTACGCGATGTCGGGCTATCAATAATAAAACCGAGTTTACTATCGGGTAGAACGACGTCATGCGTGGCGATGTGCAGACGAATATCGAGAAAGAAACTGGGAACACCTGCGCAAATCGTATGCATTACATGATCAGATAGTTCGGATCGCTCTCGGTTTGAAAACTTCTGTTGCGATTGTTGCAGCTTTCGTTCTCAATCTTATCACACGGTTATCTTCTAATCTTGGAGTTTTGTTTTCAATCAAAATTAAGTACAGAAGTACGGTATGATCGAAAATGTTCTTTTATTTTTCATCGGAATTAGAAATTCAGAAGCTGTATGTTTTATCTTTCGAAGCAAAAACTCGACTTCCCAATTAACTTTGAGAACGAAACGAATATTTTAAGCTTCGATTTAATGAATGAACAATCGTGCGCTTCACGTTCATTGCAATTTTATAACTCAATTAATAATATTCGTTCGCGAAATCCAATACATCGTCAATAATAATTCGTTTGCTTATTTGAACGTGTCTAACTATTTGGATTGGATTTACTCGGCAACGCCGAACCTGTTTTCTACGCAAATCTCAATGTGGTTGTGTTATTTTAATTAAACTCCCGATTCGTTGATTCCGATAACAAACCGACACATATATCAGCGGATTAATAAAACTTGCGGAGCAAATATTAAAGTTCGACAAATATTGAATATCCTGTTCATAGAACTACGAGCGGAATTTTCATAACTTGAACATTAACGATGTTCCTTTTGTTAACGTTCATTTAATTGAATAAAACTGTCTTTCGAAAATATAACAATGTACAATCTTTAACCCCTTACACTATGATCTTTTTCACAGCTGCATCGATTAACACTTCTTCATCCCTAATAATTTCCCTAATTGAACGAGACAATTTTTGTTTCCCGTTTGTCTGCATTCATTTTCATTCCTAGACTATCACAAGAGAAGAATCAAATTTTATCTCGATTTCGAATAAATTAACATTCACAATTTGTAGATTATGTATTATCTATTATTACGTGTTATGTATGAAATCTTTATCTCGAGTTTGGCTTGTGGTTATAGCGTTAATCGAATTCCTTATCAGAAAAATTGATAAATTAATTTCAGATGATTACACTGTTAATCTAGTTCAAATATCAGAGGACAGATAAATAATATGTCGAGTGTTGAGCAAAGGTCAATTTGGAGATGTCAAAAATGTTCTTTGAACGAATAACAACGAAATCTTTAATCACATTTTCTGTAAGAAAAATTGATTTATTCGAAATAATTCCTCTGTTATTCGAATTCAAACTTCAGAGAACAAATGAATAACGTTTCGGGTGTTGGGCACGGATTGATTTGAATTAGATCTCAAAACTGTCATCTGAACAATACAATCTGCAATCGTGTATTCTACAAGAAAAACTGATACATTAATGTGAAACAATCGCAGTTCGAACCCTAGAGAACGGATAAAAAAATATATGTCGAGTGTTGAGCAAGAATAAATACGGGGAATATCTCTCAAAACGTGTCCCTCGACCGGATAGATATCTAGGGTGGTATCTGTGGTTCCGAAACGTTTTGTGCAGTAGCTCGAGGGGCTCGAAACAATCTAATCCCGGGAACGTCGCACGAAAATAACGTTGAATAGCGGATCGCGAAAATAGTAATAAGATATTGCGCCGACCGAAGCCAGAGCCAATTTGAATTCTCCACTTTAGCATGCTACTTCCGCGTTCCTTAACAGGCTCCCTGAGAACACCGTCACCGTTCTAGGTAAAAGTGCAATCAGCCTGATCGCTAATGCGCTTCCACGACGGGCGTACTGCATTGCAACCGTGGTTTTGCTTCGTCGAAATGGAATTTGCAATTATCCGGCCGCAGAAGGACCGCTTTGTTCCGAATAGCGCGTCGAGTCCGCTGACAATGAATCCCCGTGGCAGCCCGTGTTCTATCGCTCGACAATCCTTCTCTAGTGCAGAATATCTAAAAAAAAGAAACAAAACAGAAAATTAGCATTCCGCGTGAGAGAGAGCGATCGCTGCTGTTTCAGCGATTAAAAGGATCTACAGTCGTCAACAACAATTCGGAAATGGAGGATTCCTGAGGTCATTCGAAGCAACTTTTTCCTTAGCGAAAATGCAATTCGCAGCTTCGCTTACGAGTTATCAACGAAAAACACTGACCAATGAGATGCGAGCTCGACCGGCGCGAGGCGGCCCAGCCAATGAGCGCACGAAGCTCATTTCTGCTCATTGGCTCGCGCCGGTTGAGCTCGCCTTTTATTGGTCAGTGTTTTATTCCTAATGTTCTATTCTTAATTTAATCGTACTTCGTAATTGCAATTATTGATCGAATTAAAATTAATTTGAATAAGCGATATGAATTACAGATTACGATATAATTGAATTCGTTGTAATTACAATTAATGGACCAACACAGTCGTAATTCCGCATAATTGTGCACGGTCGCCGCCAATTTTTTAAGGTTCCAATATCGTGCGTGTTTAGGTGATCGTAATATCTCAATTCAGCTATGCATTATTCCGAGCTAATTAGCGAAAGAGCTGAAAACGTAAATTTAGACAAAAAAGAAACGCATGGCATGAAGTATCTGACAGTGAGCTTGTTGAGCAGAAAATTTCGAGCGTACGTCAGCTCGAGTTATCGCGCAGTTGGCAGAGAATGTGTTAATGGGTATTGAACAGCCGCATTTTGCAGCACTGGAAAATGCTGTAACACGCACCGGATACTAGTGTACAAAAATTTTATTCTACCCTTTCCACTTGCTTTTTTCACGATGAACCATTCTTTTAATCCTCTCCTCCTACGAATATATTTTCACGGTACATACTCCGCTTTGTAAAATATGGATTTGCGCCATTTGCGAAATTGCCTCATTTGCTAATTTCGTAGTCATTTCTGCAGCTTCAAATCAATTTGCGCCTGTTGGGATCCCGCCGTGCATGTTCCCGTCTGTTCCATTCTAAAGAGTCTGGCTAATTATCCGGCTTTCGAAATAAACTTATCGAAGATTCAACACTAAGCCTACCGACTAGTCGAAATGACCAGTTCCGCATTTTTTATTCTTGAGTTGTTTAAATTGTACGCTCTCTTTCGCAGTGAATATAAGTTTCTTAGTCCAAGCTATAATAAAAATTGCGAATAGTATAACTTTTAAATCCGTGGTATAAATTATTGTATTTAACTCTATTCTACTTTATTTATCTTAGATTATGATTAGGTACAGTTTTACGAAAGAATTTAAAGAGAATTGGAAAAGATTTTCCTCGAAAAGTATTAAATATTTAAATTGAATTATTATTAAATTAAATTATTTAGTATGAAATATTAAATATTAATCATAACCACGATNCAATTCGCAGCTTCGCTTACGAGTTATCAACGAAAAACACTGACCAATGAGATGCGAGCTCGACCGGCGCGAGGCGGCCCAGCCAATGAGCGCACGAAGCTCATTTCTGCTCATTGGCTCGCGCCGGTTGAGCTCGCCTTTTATTGGTCAGTGTTTTATTCCTAATGTTCTATTCTTAATTTAATCGTACTTCGTAATTGCAATTATTGATCGAATTAAAATTAATTTGAATAAGCGATATGAATTACAGATTACGATATAATTGAATTCGTTGTAATTACAATTAATGGACCAACACAGTCGTAATTCCGCATAATTGTGCACGGTCGCCGCCAATTTTTTAAGGTTCCAATATCGTGCGTGTTTAGGTGATCGTAATATCTCAATTCAGCTATGCATTATTCCGAGCTAATTAGCGAAAGAGCTGAAAACGTAAATTTAGACAAAAAAGAAACGCATGGCATGAAGTATCTGACAGTGAGCTTGTTGAGCAGAAAATTTCGAGCGTACGTCAGCTCGAGTTATCGCGCAGTTGGCAGAGAATGTGTTAATGGGTATTGAACAGCCGCATTTTGCAGCACTGGAAAATGCTGTAACACGCACCGGATACTAGTGTACAAAAATTTTATTCTACCCTTTCCACTTGCTTTTTTCACGATGAACCATTCTTTTAATCCTCTCCTCCTACGAATATATTTTCACGGTACATACTCCGCTTTGTAAAATATGGATTTGCGCCATTTGCGAAATTGCCTCATTTGCTAATTTCGTAGTCATTTCTGCAGCTTCAAATCAATTTGCGCCTGTTGGGATCCCGCCGTGCATGTTCCCGTCTGTTCCATTCTAAAGAGTCTGGCTAATTATCCGGCTTTCGAAATAAACTTATCGAAGATTCAACACTAAGCCTACCGACTAGTCGAAATGACCAGTTCCGCATTTTTTATTCTTGAGTTGTTTAAATTGTACGCTCTCTTTCGCAGTGAATATAAGTTTCTTAGTCCAAGCTATAATAAAAATTGCGAATAGTATAACTTTTAAATCCGTGGTATAAATTATTGTATTTAACTCTATTCTACTTTATTTATCTTAGATTATGATTAGGTACAGTTTTACGAAAGAATTTAAAGAGAATTGGAAAAGATTTTCCTCGAAAAGTATTAAATATTTAAATTGAATTATTATTAAATTAAATTATTTAGTATGAAATATTAAATATTAATCATAACCACGATTTCGTGATCGGTTAAAAAATTCGCGGCTGCGAACGTGTTGATATAAACTTCAAAAATGAACAGTGAAACGTTGTTTCATCGCAAAGAATCGTATGTCGGGAATTACAATGTCCCAGTATTATTTCGAACGAAAACGCGTGGTCGTTGCGGTGCGAGCGTTTCGGATGTTGCTGATGAATCTCTGGTTTACATAGAAATCGTTACGGGACAGCGATACTTTGCCGGGTGAAATTAATTTTCGAGGGACTAGTTTGCAGCGGACACAACAGATATTACAAACCGCGGCTCGAGACGGGATTAAACCCGTGGAGGGGATGAATTCGCGATTATCCTGTTACTAATCTTACGAGTTTACCTGCACATGATGTGTAATAATTCTTCAGCGTACATTTTCGTAGCCGGTCGTGCAATTGCTGGGAACAGCCGGGTAAACGGTACACCCTAATGGGAAGTTTGTTGCCCGGTTCTCCGCGAATTCCATGAATTCTGCTCCCGTGCTCGTAATTCTGCTGAGGTGACGGTTCGAAAGAAACTTTTTCAATCGCGTTATAACATTTCTCGTTCTCTTGTTTCGCGCTCCGAATTTTTACCGACCGTGAAATCAGAAAGCAAAACGGAGCGCGGAGCCGCTGCATTCTGCGAGCGTTCAACTCAAACATTTTCGGTGGCTAATGCAACACCGGGTCTTTTGCAACGAAGTTACGACTCGATCTTCGTGCAAATGGAAAATTTTTTACGTAATCAGTAAAGTCCGGTTTTTATGCGTTCGTGACGAAAATTGGTATGTATGAACACTCTTTTGTTACTCTCTATTGATTAAATTCATTAAGAGGAGAAATACGTTTTTATCGAGCCTCTGCCCCATTTTTAATCGACACAAACAATTTTTATTCTCAACACTCGAGACATTTGAAACATTTTCAAGCATTTCAAACGTTATTTTCAACTTATTACGATTGTTAAAAGATTGTAAAGAGGGAAGACATTTTCATCTGATTTATATTTCTTACGATTAACACAGACAATTTTTATTTTGCATAAAGCTCCGCAGTCTAGCAATCCTAACTTTCGAGTGTAATGGACTGCGGATCAAAATGAAAATTGTCTAAGTTAATTGTAAGAAATATAAGTCAGATGAAAACATCTTTCCAGAATCTGATACCGCACTCACGGTTATTAATTTCTTAAACAAAAGTCGAAAAGGACCGATGGAACTTCAACAAAACATCGAAACTTCAACATCGCCGTATCAAACAGCGCGCCTCAAAAAATGACATCCATTGAAAGAGGAAACCTGAATTTTGTTCTATCTTCCTACCATTTAAATTTAACCTCGTACTTAAAATTTATCGTGGCACTACTTAAAAATGCTTATAAAAAAAAGATGCGGCGGATCCGATAGTTCCGATATATTTCAGCTCGCAGAGAGACTAGAAAACGCGAGTGGAATAACAATTTCGAATTAAATGAGTCAGACAAAACGAGCAGCTTGACAACGTTTCGCATTCATTTTCCGAAACGAGCGCTCCGAACTTAAAAGGAACGCGGAAGATATTCAAGTGGAAAACGGCGGCATGAAAAAGCTGAGAGCATTTCCATGCTACGCATTTTCTAGACCGGCAAATATTATGAGCAACAGAAGGAGGAACGTCGCGATAAAAGTTGCCGTCAATTAGAGGCCCGGGGTCACTCTCTCCCGGATATTCCGAGCCGGTTGCAATTAATAATTTCATTAGCGACAACGGCAATCCCGCCATAAAAACCGTCCCGTTCGTTTTCTAAACAGCAATGAGACACGAGCGCGACGGGGGCGGACTGGTTACGCCCGGAAAAAGGAACACGCGAGAAAATCGATTACTGCTCCGATAGAATATTAGGCTGTACGAATAAAAAGGAACGAGATGGGACCATTTGAAACAGGCGAACTATAGGGAAAACGAGCGGATAGAGGATAGGAGAAGCGTCGTGCCAACATCGAAGTTAACAATAGGGTCGGGGACAGGGAAGAAGGGGGAGGGGAGGGGAGAGAAACAGAGAGGAATCGAAGGATAGCCGAAGGGAGACGGGGTGTGAACAGATAGTGCAAAGGATATGAGAGAACAAGAGCGTAGGAAAATCCGGGAAACGAAGGATAGAAAACAGTGCATGGCCATGGGATGGCGGGCGGGGGAGGAAAGAGGGGGAGAAAGCCGGCTGGTGAGCATGGACTATGCTCGCCACGTGTAATTAGCAATGTTCCGGGGTGTCGAGACTCGACTTTAATGGAGCGCGTCGCATTAACCCCGGCATTTACACGTCAGGCACGAAGATCGAGTGGAATCGGAGAGCGTGCCTCTTTCGAGCGGCTTAAATGGATTCACGTTGTCGAGTTATACGGCA